CTGGGAGCATCAGGAGAATCATCCACCGAAGGGTCCTTTTCGTCGACGTCATTTCCACGATCGTCATCAGCATTTCCATCGTCTTCAATCTCCATCGAAAAGTCGGGCGAAGACACACTTGGTACGACAGCCGTCGGAACAATCGGAGCCGGCTTTGAAGACACGGAGGCTGGTGGAGCAGCTTCAACAGGGGCAGACCCTGCTGTACAAACCACTCCCGAGACTTCAACTGTCTTGGACGCCGGAACAGACGCCGAAGCAGACTTGCCTTGTGGGACAGTGTGGTCCGACTCTTCACCTTCATCACTTGAGCCGAACATGAGTCGCATTTGCTCGGCCTCACGCAGAGCTTCTTCAGCAGCACGTATGTCGGCTGGAGAAGGAGAGATCGTTGAAGCTGGTGGCTTGGCCACATCGGGAGGACCCTAAGGCGGGGGCGAAGGCGCGTCAGGAGAATCAGGAACATCGTTGTGATCCCCAAGGTCCATATCTTTACCTGAAGACTCTGTAGCGGTTTCTTGAACCGATAGGACGCTGCTTGGACCAGCATTCCCCATGTCCACGTCACTCTGGTCGCCGCTGAGGTCGACCACGGCAAAAGTTGAGGAAGACGCTGGTGTAGGAGGTGGCGACCATGAACTTGGATAAGACGGTACAGACTTGGACCGAGTCTTCATATGACGACGGGGCGACTTGGCGTGAGAATGAGGACGAGACTTCTTGCGCTTCTTCTGGGCCGCTTTCTTCCACGCCTTCGGGCCGAATAGCGATCTACGAGCCGACTTGGGAGTTGAAGTATCGGCAGGTGTCGCATCACCGAGACCAGCAGCTGCCATCGTACTGGCCTTGTCCGTCGGGATTGGAGCCTTGTCTTCGTCAGAGTCGCCCGGCGCGTCGTCTGAATCCTCGCCACCTGGTCGAGGGCGCTTATGGGACTTCCCATGGGCCACTTGGTGAGCGGCCTTGGCCAAAGCTGCAGGAAGGGCTTGAGGATCGTCCGAAGACGCGGTAGCAGACTGGATGCGCCGCAAAGCGACTAACGTCTCTTGATCCAACTCCAGCGCGTCCAGGTCCAGCTCACCCGCAGTCAGACCTATCACGAAGGATGGTGAACGAACGTTAGCTGCTGAACACACGGTGGAAAGAGCGACATTAGGAACGTACCATCAACAGCCAGACGAAGTACCTCGGGATCCATTCCGGCCAGACTCACGTGTGCACGGAGGGTGCGATTCGCTTGAAGGAGGCGAGTGTTACGGTCTTGCTGGTTCTCGAGGACCTTGAGCGT